GGAACAAGAACAGCACCTAGGAAACCAGGAGATTCTCCTAAAACCCTAGTCAAAGAGGAAGAGCAGTGCTCACCAATGCTTACAGATACGTTCTCTTTAGTGTGACATTTTAAAAATTATTTTAGATTTGAAAGGATTACCCTCAAGAATGGACTCAGCAGTGCTGTCAAAAGGCCAAAATCCTTCAGAGCTAGATCCACAACATCTCCTTTATAGCTATAACCCACTGGACAGAGGCAGGCAGGTCACAAAAGCTAAGCATGAACAAACACGGTTACTGCTCGACCGGAGCCGTCTAAAGAAAACTCAGGAACTGCCATATTAGTATTGGCAACACTTTCATTGGTCCCTCTGACTCAGCACCGAGCCAGTGCTCCAGCATGGTTCAGGGTGTGTGGGAAAGAGGCACCTTCAGATGAGAGCTTCACTGTTTGAGATTTGGGACCACTGGGCACTATTCACAAGGATAGGGGCTTTAGAACGAATCCAGGCTACCAAGCTTAACCTTGTTAGGAGTCAGGACTTTCCCTCTACTTTCAACTGGATATGGAGCTTTCGCTGACTCTCTAAACCAGTTTTGTAAGGTTGCTGGTGCAAAATGCTCTTGGCTGCCTCTTCCCTTGGGGGCCCCATTCCAGCAATAGGAGAAGCCTAGCTTTGTAGGAGTCTAAAGCACTCTGGGATCACTTGGGTGGAAAGGTGCATTGAAAGAGTTTGGGGTTTTGGTCCAGTTTAGTGACGCGGGAGTCACCGCTTTGAGAATCCCCTTTCTGCTGAACTGCTCTTCTGGAGTGTTCCAAAAATAAAAGGGGGAGACAGCAGGATATTGCATCTAGTGGAGTAAAGTGCAGCCTGGAAGTCAGGAGCTCCCTAGTTCTAATTCCAGCTCTGCTTTGAAAATGTCAATTCTTGTTCCTCGTCTCCCCAGCTAGACAACAGGATACTTCCTTTGTGGTAAGCAACAGAGGGTCCTGTGGCACCTTTAAGACTAACAGAAGTACTGGGAGCATAAGCTTTCGTGGGTAAGAACCTCACTTCTTCAGATGCAAGAACTTTCAGGAACAACTACAACGTTAAGCGAAGAGTTACTGTACAAAGTTTGCATCTTCTATGCCAAACTGGTGGGTTTTCAACCTGCCATAATCCTAGCAGGTTTTTTTAAATGTAATCTTTTAATTAGTTAAGGATTTACAGTAAGTCTCAAGTGTTGATACACAGCTTAATATTAACTCAGTACAACTACGAGAAATTAAATCCTTTTCATAATCCATTACCATTTAGGATGAGCAATACATCACGGTAACAATTTATGATAGTTCAATGGATGTAGTTTTAAATTTAGTACATAATGAAGCCAATCCAGAAAGGCGAATTAAAAGATTAAGATTTTAGCAGGCTGGATGGTTTAGGCTAAGAGCTGCATGCTCAGTAGTCAAGTCCTTTAGCAGGCAGTAGGTTAACTTTACCAAATAAAGTCATCTAGCTGTTTCATGCCTTCCAAAACAAAGTTCCTGAAAGAGATGGGCAAGAAACTTCTGTGATTAAGTCCAGAAGAAATGGATAAGCAGCAAGGAAAAATAGTTGCTAAAAGTGACAGTGTTATTAAAGCATTTGAATGTCTCTTACAACTGATTCTCTGCCAGGAAAGGGCAGTTGGTCAGAGGAAACCGTTCATGGATTACAGTAAAAATATGTGCAGAGAACAGCTGCTTCCTCTGATTTTGTGTTGTGCTTAGTAAGATCACAGCTGAAAACAGGGAAGCAGCATCAGATTGCACAAGTGAAAGCGATTCCACTATCTGCATGCTGAGGAAGGGGTTTGGAGAAGGAAATCAGATCACAAAGGCTGGGTTTGAAATGCTAATTGACCACGAACTTTTTTACTTCAGAGATGCACTGCTCAGAGTGGGACAGGACTTTATTTCTACTCTCCCTACAATAAACTCAGTCTCACAAACCTAGAACTTCTCGCTGAAACTTAACGTGAACTGCTGTGGCCACCGAACACCCATCCATAGCCATGCCAGATGGTCACATAAGAGGCTGTTAGAATAAAAAAAAAATATGGCAGGATTTAATGAAAGTGTATGGCTCATTCCTGACCATGACAAATGGCTATTAGTCATCCAGCCAACCAACCAAGGCATCCATGGCTAATCCTCATAATGAGGACTGTGACTCCCGAAAGGCCCACTGTGCTGTGTGTCACAGTGACAACCAAGCTAGTGAAACCTTTAAAGCATTCATAGCTAAATATTGCAGTTGGATTTTCCTTACATCTTCCAGAAATCCACATACAATGCTCTGCTCCAGCTCGGCTGATCATTACTTATTTCTACAGCTCCATAGGTGTGCATGGTACTTTAGAGATCTAGGGATGTGCTCTGAAGTGTCTAAATCTAAGTCGATATACAGACAAAGAGGAAGGGCCGCAGCAATGGACGGGAATGTTTCTCGCAAAACAAATCCACTCTGAACAATCAATCTGAATGAGATGCAGAGCTTTAAAGCCATGTTATTCTTGTGCCCCAGCAGATTTGGTATTAGTGCTCAAGGTACTCTGGAGAGTTTCAGGAGTGTCATCAGCCTAGTGGAGTTTGCAGCAGTAACAAGGTTTATTTCATGCCCGCAGGGAGACTAGAAATGAAGCAGTGGGATGACTTCATTGTTTGTGCCATGTGCTTATAGCTGACCAGAAAAGGAGAGAGAGATAAGGGCTGGTTACAATGGACTCTACAACTAAAATAGTTCCGAGGGCGCTTTGCACTAGAAAATCTATGCTAATCCCCAGAATCCTCCACAAAATTAGCGGTAGCAATCAGCTGCTCTCACACACGCTGACTTTTTAAACAAAACAAAGGGCTAATTCCCGTTGCAATGAACGGTGTTCAGCATGGCTGCTCCAGTTCAGGTACCGAACATCTGATTGCTACTCCAGCATTCTGGAGAAAAACCCTGCACAACTTTCCAGAATTAAACCTCTCAGCTGTTTAAATTTGCACCCTCCCCTATCCCACCAAAAGGGGTTCAATGGAGTTTAGAAACAAACTCACGCAAGAGGAAGAAGTGTTGTCCTGTGATGACAGCAGGGGTCAGGAGACTGGGGTTCTAGAGCCCATTCTGCTGCTACAAGGAGACCTCGAAAATACTTTGAAGTGATCACTGAATTTATCATCTAGAGTTTGGGCAGAAAAACATTCTCGGAGTCAACATAGACCACTAGGCTTTGGGCAACATGCCCAAACTCCGTCTGAGCTCTTAACTTGGCTGGAAGCATTATAGGAGAAAGCCATTCGAGCAACCCCATCCAGGTGACCATTAAGTGGTGTTCACATGCTCCAGTGGGAGGCATATCCAACCCTACTTGTCTACTAGCCAGGTTGGACCAATATAGGGCTGTTAAAAAAGCAGACAAGGAAGGACAGGGCTACGGGGAGGGAGAGCTTAGTGGTTTGAGCATTGGCCTGCTAAACCCAAGGTTGTGAGTTCAATCCTTGAGGGAGCCATTTAGGGATCTGGGTCAAAAATCTGTCTGGGGATTGGTCCTGCTTTGAGCAGGGGGTTGGACTAGATGACCTCCTGAGGTCCCTTCCAACCCTGATATTCTATGATTTCTATGAAACAACAGGATACATTTGGACAGATCACAAAAAAGTATCAAATTCTAACCAGTTCTGTAAAACTAGTTTTCAATCTGGATTTGCAGTTTGCTTATACCAGAAATTTTAAATGGCTGAAGTGCTGGACCAGGATTTTCAAGATTTCACTGTCAATTTTCCCAGCATTGCTATAAATACATATGAGAGGGTAGGGCAGAGACCGAAGAATCTGATCTGCAGGTGATAATTCCAGGTTGGGCAAGTATCCATGTACTGACTCTCAGCAGTGCCAGTTAATCATGCCAGTCCCCCTTCATGCCAACGTGCCCATAAACTGCCAGGAGCAGCTCCTTCAGTGTATTTCCATTTGTTCCTCAGACTTTAAGACTCTGAAATAATCTAGCGTCGGTAGTTGCTTTCAACCTGAGTGCTGCCTGAATGCAAGTGAGACAGTCTTGCCAAGTATTTTAAAGTCGCTTGAGTTTCTCCAATAAGTGGATGAAAAAAAAAAACATCTTTAATTCTGGTCTCTTCCCACTAAAACACAAAGGCACAAGATTTTTTTCCCCCTCAGTGGTATCCATTGGG